TATACCAATTTACTTTTCCTTGGATTCAGTTCTGGTCATGTACATACTCGGGTTCCCTACGTTAATAAGTTCATGATATACAGATTGCACTTTGCTTTATTTTACTGGCTGTAATGACAATGTCAAGACCGACTGACTTAGCCATTCAACGTTACAGAAAATGTAGAATAATAAAGAATATGTATGGTAACATATTTAAAGAATATGCATGGTAGCATATTTAAAGAATATGTATGGTAGCATAGAGTCTGGAGTTACATCTCACAACTATCAGTATCCCTGTTTTCCATTTTCGATCATGAACATGAAAAACTGTTCTCCTGAATACGTCAATCTACTTCAATCTAATTAACAAAGCAACAGCCACCCTTGATTGAATAAATCAGTGATACAAATTCATCCATCAATTCGAATGAATAATCAATTTCTTTGCCACCAACCTAATGCCTGCACTCTGCTGATAGTCATATGGGTCCAAGGAGAAGAAAGCATCCATAAAACTCCCCTGTTTGAACAAGGTACTAAGTTCTGAAGCATCAAACTTAGTGAAGACTAGCCTCTCCTCAGTGCCAGAAGGCTCTTTTTTATATATCTCTGTGGCATAGATCGCAACATCCCCCCATACTGCTGTCTGTATACTGCAGAAACAAACATAGAAAGCATCGCATATCTAATCAGGTGAGATGAATCTTCAAGGAGGGAAATTTTGAAGTACTCTTCATCTACACTACTAAAAAGGTCATGACTTGCAAGGTTATAAAACTTTGGCTCAGTTTATTTTGTAGAAAAAAACAGATATTATAAAACAGAGTTTGATACACTGGGATGAAATGTAACTTTCTCAATAGCCAATGAACTGCAGAAAAAACCTGTGTTTTCTTTTGTGTGTGTGTGTGTGTGTGAGAGAGAGAGAGAGAGAGAGAGAGAGGATAAAAGTTAGGACTAAGACTAGAACTTACTGCAATCTCACTGTAGGGTAGTTGTAGAAGCCCTCTTTCCGGATCACAACGGTTCTCCATTCGGAGTTGCTTCCAGAATCCACAGACAACTTCTGTGCAATGCCATCACAAGCATCAAGAACTTCACATAAATTTGGTGATGCATCAGCAACAATATTCAATCTTGGTCGTCCAGCATGATCAAAAAACTTTGTATTGATTCCAAACCGTAATTTCATACGCCTACAGCAAAGCTGCAAAGTGACATCTTTGTGTAATAACTTTATCCTCTGACTCCCACGATACAACGGAGCAAGGGAAGCACAGATAGAAGGAATAAAAACTTCATCAGGCTGTAAAAATCCCACACTGCTATTGCAACTCTCAGATGCAGCAGCTGGGGAAGAACTATTGGAAGTCTCTGATACAGGTACTTCTAGCATGGTGGTGTCTGGCTGATTCAACTCTTTCTGCACTTCAATGCTGAGTGGGGCCATGTCAAAGGGATCCGGTTGAGCTGTGATAGGTTCAACCAGATTAGAGACTTCTGCGTTTTGATTCCTAAGAGATGCTATTGGATGATTCTCCCCTGTTCTTTGATTTGTAAAAGATAACACCTGAGCATCCTCATGCATAGTTAATGAGGAAGTATTCATGTTCATTTGTCCCCTCTTCTCAGCAGATGATTTTCCATCACTACGACTTCTTGTGGTAGCATTTGGAGAAACCCAACTGTTCTCCGTGAATATATCTGGGAGGCTCGACTCCTGTGAGTACATCAGACTTATAGTCAATTTTTTACTATTGATATATTTTCTTGAGTTTTACCTTCAAACGGTCCAACAAGTGAAATTCAATATAACTATATGAAGTGTGAATATATTAATGCCATATTAATAAAGAATGAATTCGTTCTCCATGCCTTTCAAAATAACATTATTACCAAGAATAAGACGGTTGCACAGTATTTCAAAACTTCAAGATTCATACGAACATCATCCAAACTCCTGAAAAATCACTAGATAAAAACATTAGTTCAAGAAAACCAAAATGAAATCAAGAGTGAGTAACTAAATTACGAGTATGTTTGCACAAATACCTATGTGTCTGCTGTCCAAGCCCAAAATAGGTTGCAAGGGTGGCCATCTGCGCAAAATAATACATCCCAAGTATGTATCAACATTCACAAACAAAATAGATCAACATCTAGAAGCTGCACATCTTTTCTGCCTCAAAATTACATATTTCATTTTGTCCTTTAAAGATTGATTTCGAAGAATTTAAAAAACTTATTTGAATCAAAATCTAACGGATAAGATTTATCATATATACACACACATGTTATATATGAGAGATGGAGAGAAAATGTACCTTCATGTTACCAGCTCTTCTTCCAAAGCGCTGTGTCAACAATGCCAAGGAATCAATTGTACCCTTGGGTTCGGGTGCAGGCCGACCAATGTGTGCGAATGCTTCCCGGATCCGAGCACAATCAAACCTCAGTATGTTGTGACCTGCCCATATACGTCCTACACACAACAACCATAAAGAAAATATCCCTCAACAAAATAAAATATCAACAAAAAAGTTTTGATGTCATCATTGAAATGAATCTCAAATTTTCCACTACCTACAACCACAGAAATGAAAATCCGAAGCACCCCTTAATTTTTTTTTTTAATTGAGCTTAGTTTAGTTCAGCTAATCTTGCTTGAGTCGTTCTTAGTATTCCGATTCCTTCCTTTCATACCAAAAACAAATTCAACATATTAAAAAATAAAAATAAAAACTTGCTCGCAATTCAAACCAAACAAAGCACGAATATCACTTCATTTATGAAAAAGAATAAAAAATTTCACTTTTTTTTAAATTTTTCCTCAATTTCTCAGCAACCAAACACTGACAGTTAGAGACTTAGCAAGAAAGGAAAAGGGAAATGAGCAAACCATGGAGAATGTCGTAGACCGTATCGGCGATCTCTTGAAAGGTAGGGGAAGAAACGACGGCGTCTCTGGTAATGCCGTTGCAACGCACGGACAAGGAGGAGATTGAGGAAAGGTCGGCGGGTCGCACCAGGGTGGAGTAGCTCTCGAGCTCCACCAGTTTCCTAGGGCAAACCAGAATCGACCCGAACTCCAATATGGTGAACCCCTGGCCAGGTCGGGTCGGCACCGTCGTCTCCACGTCGAAAAAAGCTATTTCAAACCGGTCTTCGCTCCGACTCACCATTTTCTATCTTAGCCAAAACGACAGTTACAGAACGATCGTGGGTTTTGATTTGATGCTCTAACACTTTATTTCTTGAAATTTAACCCGCCAAGTGTATATAAAGGAGCGGTTGAACACGGCTTTGCTTTCCGACCTAAAAAAAAAAGAACACGGCTTTGCTTCCTTGGTGGGGTTTTGTTTGGTTTGCTATTAATTTAGTTTTTGGGCCTAAACAGGCCCACGAAAAAGGCTTTTGCTTTGGTCCTGCTTGTCCTCAATAGGTGGGTGACCTGAGCAAAGAAGCAATATGGGAATGCATATATGGTATCTCATTCCTTGCCTTGCCTTGGTGTATGACCAAAGCTTCAAATAACCCTAGGAGCAAGCCATGCATGAGGCACTTTGCCTTCTTGGAAAGCATGAATTGGTGCAAGCTCATTATAATTTAAGTGTCTTTTACTTCAGCTGTCTCAGAATCAAGAACACATCTTAGCATCCTATACTTGTTTCAGTATTTCTTTAGTTCATATGGATAAGAAGAGGGCAGATGTAAAATATTCATTTGAATGAACCATGATGTTGTGTTGCATGCAATGGAAGCCCTCTGATTACAAAGAATGGTACATCTATTTAATTTACAAACACTGTTTTGACTTTACAGGCTAAAAAGTTTGAGAGAGCTTGAGGACATGCTTCTGTTTGACTTACCCATCAAGAGCTAAGAATGATTCCAGTGTTCTACTGTCAACATAGGACTCTGAAAGAACTTGTGACTCTAAAAATTAAACAAAAAGGGTCATCACAGAAAATGATATCCCACTAGAAATGATGAAAATGGATGCAAGTCTCATACACCGTATGTCAGACAAGATGTTTCCAGTAGCATGGCAGATTGCATTGCAGGAAAATTGACCCGAAGCTTTCCAAATTCAAAAAGAAGAGAGAGCTGTCTGAGATGTCGACATATTTTTCTTGCTATTCTGCAACATGGGAAAGCATATCTGATATGTCTGGTTTGGAGCCCTCCTGCAGTGCTGGCCTGGTGATTTCACCAAGCATCTCATAGATTACAGATGCATGCTTATGGGTCCTATCACCTGCCACAAAATCATGAACAACTCCATTGATTTGAACCCAACTTCGGCCTGGGGGCTTTCTCACGCCCATCTTAACCATTTTCTGCCTCACAGAAGCAACATCTAGCCATCTTTTAGTAGAGGCATACACGTTTGATAAGAGCACAAGATAACCTGCAGCTTGGTCAGGGTCAAGTGCAACTGTCAATTTTTTAGCCACATGTGATGCGAGCTCAGCATTCTTGTGAAGCCTACAACCGCCAAGGAGAGCACCCCACACAGCTTCGTTTGGATTCATGGGCATAGTCTCCACAAGCATATGTGCTTCTTCTAGAAAACCAGCTCGGCTCAAGAGATCAACCATGCACCCATAGTGCTCAATCCTTGGGGTAAGTCCGCAAGTTTGCATCATGAACTTGAAAATTCGGCGGCCCTCGTCAACTAATCCAGCATGGCTACAAGCACACAAGACACCAATGAAAGTTATCTCATCAGGTCTTACATCATCAACTCCGGAGCTCAGCATCAATTGAAAGATATGAAGAGCTTCCTCCCCGTGACCCTGCTTTGCAAACCCAACGATGATGCTGGTCCACGAGACAGTGCTTCTTCTTGGCATCTGATTGAACAATTTATAGGCTTCTTCAATTAAACCGCAACTGGCATACATGTGTATGAGTGCATTGTACAAAGTCACCAACCGTGGCTCGGACTTCATCCACAATCTCTCTTCAATGTACCAGTGAATCCACCTTCCCAATTTCAAGTCCCCTATTTCAGCACAGGCCGATAACGCTGCCACTAGCGCCACCTGGTCCGGTTCCACATTGGACCTCCTCATCTGACCAAACAAAGACAAAGCTTGCTTGCACCTCCCGTTTTGAGCACACCCCGCAATCATGGTTGTCCACGAGACAATATTCCTCTCTGGCATCTCGTCAAAAACTTGCCGCGCCCCATCAACATTCCGACACCTTATATACCCCGCAAGCAGTGAATTCCAACTCACAACACTCCTCTCACCCATATCGTCAAACACCCGGCGTGCATACTCAACGCCACACCCTGACCCTCCACTAATTGCGTACAAATTAACCAAACTCGTCTGGACAAACACATTAGAATCAAACCCATTTGCCAAAACTCTCGCATGCACCTGCTCCCCTTCTCTCACCAACCCTGACCTCGCACAAGCACTAAGAACATACAAATAAGTAAACCCATCAGGCTCAGCCCCCACACCCACCAGCTGATTATATAATTGAACAGATTTTCGGGGAGTTTCACTTCTGGAATGGCCTCTAATCATCTGGTTCCACAAAGTAGTACTAGGGTTTTCGACATTTTCAAAAATTTTGAGGGCATGATGGAGACACCCAGAAGATACATAGAATGATAATAATCTAACAAGAATGTAGCTTTTTTGGTTGAACCCGTGAACAAGTATTTGGGTATGAATTTGGGTAAGTTTTCTTATGGAGTTGCAGCTCTGTAATAAAGAGAAGAGGTACTGCTGTAGAGCTCTAGAGGTTGCAGGGCTGGTGGCGGGAATGGCTTCCATAACCGACATTTAAAGAAGCTATTGGCAAAGCAAAACAAACTCGGCGTAATAATAAGGAGCTCAACGACGTCGTTTTAATTGCGCGAAATAATCATTCGAGCAAATGTCGAAGCTCTTCTGTTCCACACACACACACCCATCTTCACCTACTACCAGTTCCACTTCCACCAGATGTTGAAGCTTTTAAGAGCACTTTCTTTCTCATCGTCTCCCTCTTCTTCTTCTTCTTCTTTTTCTTCTTCCTCTTCCTCTTCTTCGTTATCCAATTTCACGAGCACCATACTCAAATGTCAAACCCCTACCCAAGCACTAGAGCTCTTCAATATTGCGTCAAAGCAAATGGGCCCAAGAAAGAATCTTCAGCTTTATGCAGCGATTACCCATGTTTTAGTCAATGCCCAACGGTATGTTAAATCCAGGTGCTTGATAAAAGACCTCATCCACGACCTTCAAAAGTTCTGCAACCCCAGCCGTGCTTGTCACTTGGTTTTCGATGCACTTAACTGCTTGGAAAGCTCAAGGTTTTCTCCAGATGTGTTTGGAGTGTTAATTATTGGGTTATCCGAGATGGGCCTTGTTGAAGAAGCCTTGTGGGTGTACCGCAACATTGGGGTGTTGCCTGCAATGCAGGCTTGTCATGCGCTCTTGGATGGGTTGGGGAAGACCGGTCAGCTCAAATTGATGTGGGAACTTTATAATGAAATGAGTTCTCGTGGATTGTCACCCAGTCTTGTTACATATGGCGTGTTAATTTGTGTATGTTGTAGAGAAGGCGATAACTTGAAGGCCCGTAAATTGTTTGATGAAATGGGTGAGAGAGGGATTAAACCAACGGTTGTGATCTTTACATCTATTATTCGGGGTCTGTGCAATGAGGGTAGAATGGTGGAAGCGGAAAGTATATTTAAGATGATGGGGGAAGCTGGTGTGCTCCCAAATCTGTGGACTTACAGTACTCTGATGAATGGGTATTGCAAATTGGCTAATATTAAGCAAGGCCTTATCTTGTATGGGAAGATGCTAGGCGATGGCTTGCAGCCAAATGTTGTGATATGTAGTATTTTAATTGATGCACTTTGCAAATTAGGCCAACTGAGAGCTGCAAGGAGCGTTTTTGTATATATGGTTAAGTTTGGCATTGTTCCTAATATATCTGTGTATAATGCTTTGATTGATGGGCACTGTAAGGTTCAACAATTATCTCAAGCTATGGATTTGAAATCAGAGATGGAAAAGTTTGGAATTTTGCCGGATGGCATGACTTACAGCATCCTAATTAAAGGTCTGTGTACTGTTGGTGGAGTGGGAGAAGCACATCACTTACTTCAAAAGATGGAGAAAGAGGGGTTAATTGCGGTTTCTGTGATTTATAATTCACTAATTGATGGGTATTGTAAAGAACACAATATAGGGAAGGCTTTGGAGGTGTGCTCTCAAATGATTCAAATTGGTATGGAACCCGATGTCATCACCTTCAGTACTTTGATTGATGCATATTGCAAGATGGGGAACATGGAAGCTGCTATGGACTTGTACTCACTGGTGAGTAAAAGCCTTGTGCCTGATATAGTAACTTACACAACTTTGATCGATGGGCATTTTAAAGTTGGTAATGTGAAGGAGGCTCATCGGCTGCATCAGGAGATGCTGGAGGCAGGCCTCACCCCGAATGCTGTTACTGTTAGTTGCTTGATTGATGGCCTGTGTAAAAATGGAAGGACTTCTGGTGCAATCGAACTTTTTCTGGAGAAAACTAAAGCTGGCCCCTCTATATATTCCCCAAATCACATAACTTATACAGCTTTAATTCATGGTTTGTGTGAAGAAGGCCAAATTTTCAAGGCAACCAAGTTCTTTTTGGAAATGAGATGCTATGGTTTGAGACCAGATGCATTAACTTACGTTGTCATGTTAAATGGGCACTTCAAAGCCAAGCATATGATTGGCGTGATGATGCTGCATGCAGATATGATAAAGATGGGTATGATGCCCAGTGCACGCATATGTGCAGTCTTAGCTAGTGGTTATCGAGAAAGTGGTGACCTAAAATCAGCTCAGGCATTGTGAGGAGGATAAAATGGAATTAGGTTGGTTCTTGGTCGTAAGAGGCTACAGTTTGGAATAGAATTAAGGTCTCTATATCGGGTTCATGCTGTGTTATTGGCTTAAGTAACAGACAAGTTGGATTAACATTACGTCTTCTCTACTGAGAGGTAAAAGACTAACCTATTTGTTGAATAGTGCAATGCTTACTATTGTGAACGGGTTTTAAAGCCTGCAAATACACTCGGATGCTCATGGTCATTGTCAAAACATTCCTGATTCGAGTTAGGCCAATCTTGTTCGACAGTTTCTATTGCTTACATAAACTAGCTCTGTTGGTTTGGTTCATATTTGTATTGCAATTTGTTAAAGTTGTCACAGAGCAGAAGTTAGTGTAGCAGCAAACTTGGATAATGTGAAGTTCATAAAATCATGTTATTTTTTTATTTGGTCGAATGAGGTGATATTATTAAGGTTTGAAATCCTCAAGATATTAGAAGAAGGGAATGTTGCTTCTCGCATGGAATTCTCACAGCAACTTTCTCAGTGTGTGATCAGTCCAGGGCAAGCCTATTTGAATTTCCACTCCATAAAGCCTTGTCTTAAATGTTTTGGTTACTTTGAAACGGATAATGAGATTCCTGGAAAGGTTTCCTTTTATCCAAACAAGGGTGGCAAAGCCTTCTTTCCCATTTCATATGACTGAATGTTTTGCTGAGCATGTGACTGAAATTTTTTTGCTGGATGAAATCATGGATGTGCTTGATATTTTGTCAGTTGGTAAAGGATGTGATGGCTACAATATACTCATGTATGATACTGTGAGATAAATTTTATGGTATAGCATGTGCAGCAAGAAATCTTGGGCAAGGATAAAGCCTCCCGTGCATCCAATGTACTTCATTGTTTTTTTTCTCTACTAATTTCTAGCTGTGTCCACATGCAGCTTGTATATATATAGATATAAATCAACACAATGCTCTGCTTCTATAAATTTGGGCTTTGGGGTTTTTTTGCAGTAAATGATTAGAAGTTTTGGATATAATTCTAGTTTATTGCAGGTTACGCATTAATTTCAATTTGATCATTTTGAGAAAATCAATCTCAGTTTTCGAATTCTGGAACGTATATAGTCCAAGACAATTATTGTGCAAGTTGTAGCATAACATGTGGTGGTTATGTTCTGAAATGATTTTGGTGCTCTGAGTTTAGTTGTCGTAATCCATGAGACAATGGGGTTTAATCCTTAAAATGGAGAAGGAGCTATGAGCTTAATTTAGAACTCTGAAAAGGTGAGATGTTGTAAAATTTATGATCAGATCCTCAAAATATCTGGCTGGAGGCCGTGCAAGCCGACCCAAAGTTTGGTAGGCCAAACTTTTTGTTGGGTAACTGGTGTATTTGTAGCATGGGAGTTTGATTGCTGCATGGATATGTGCATCTCTAGGCCTTGTGCTTGTGTGCTGCTGATCTGAATTGCAATGGAGAAAGGTAAGCAAATAGACATTGGCAACAGCGGCAGGCATTATGGTAGCAGCAGAGCTAAGAGCAAGAACATGTCCATTGATTGTAGCAGAGTAAGAATTTTGTCGTGTGACCGCGACGCAGAGAGTTGTGAGGAGGTTTGCACACTACTGGCAAAATGCAGTTATCAGGGTATGTAATGTAACATAACGTACGTGTATGTATATAGCAATCCTTTCTTCTTGCACTTTGATCATGGGCTGAAACGAAGTTCCCAATTAATTGTTTTCTTGAATTCCAAGCAGTTTGGAGTTTGGATGTATAATATGCAGCAGCTCTGTTTTCTAGCATTTGCAACCTTGAGTTCCAATACTATTATCAACAGTATAGCCGCTTTAAATACTCCCCGCTATATTTTTAAATATATATACGAATATTTTGAAGGTATAGCCGGCCGGCTATACCCTACACTCTTTAAGTATATTCGAATATTTTAAGAGTCCCGCCGCGCGGCTATACTTTTAAAATATATTAATATTTAAAGAGTATAGCCGCTTTACTCTTTATATGCATTCGAATATTTTAATGGTATAGCCGCCCAGCTTACTATTAAAATATATTAATATTTAAATAGTATAGCCATGCGGCTGTACGATTTTTTTTTTTCAATATTATTCAAAAACCAAGTATAGCTGCCTCCAACTATATTTATATATTTTATTAATTTCATAAATTACTTAATTAAGAGTAATTAATTATTTTAAATTATTTGGTGGACTTTGTATTTTATTTTATTTAGACAAAATTAATTTGTTTAGTTTAGTTAGGTAAGATCTTAACTTTTTTTTAATTATGATTATGATTATTTATGTTTTAATTAATTATATTTACTTATCTTAAATAATTTTGTGGACTTTAAAATTAATTTTAATTTCTGAATATATTTTTTAAATAGTTTTAATTGTTTAAAAATTATTTTAGTATTCCAAAAATGGGTTTGAGCCTCCAAACCTTAATTCCAAGTCTCAAACCCTAACCACAAGACTATTATGGGGCACTTATGATGCGATTAGACTTGGATACTCACGTAATTTGACCTAGGATTTTACAATTAGAGTTATGAAATTTCGCCAAGAAATAGTTTATGTCGTACTAACCCCAAGACCTAGTTTATGAGTATTAAATATTATACAAATTTATAAATAAACCCAATCCTAGACATGTATTTATAAAAAAACTCAAACACTATTTAAACATAGAAACACACCCAAAATCAACAATTGTATATTTTTTGGGTGTGTTTATAAATGGATTTTGAGTGTGTGTAATGATGGGTTTTGGGTGTTGGATTTTTTTTTATAATTTCAGCTCTTATTTTGGGTGCTTTAGTGAAACTCCCTAAATATTAATTATTATGTATATATAATCCAAACCCAATCAAAAGGTGAGGCCCAAGTTCCACTCTACTAGACCCAACTTCCACATAGCACGTGTGGAAAGACTCCCACTTAGGAGGAGTAGAGACTTTCTCTTCTTTTCTAACGTGGAACTCAAGTTCATGTATTTCATTCAAACTCCAACAAGTAGTTAATATTATTGAATTACGTTGTGACTTGGATTTAGGATTTGGAGGCTAATATCTATTTTCAGAATATTAAGGACTCAATTAGGTTCAGACATGTAAATAATAAATGTCAAGTATATCCTAACAAAGCAGAGGATCCAAACCTATAAAAAAAAATTGCGCAACAGTAAAAGATTATAATTATTTAAGTATATAAAAAACAGTATAATAAAAACATATTAAATTAATGATTGACGTAATCCAATATTAAGAGTCGTTTAGATTTAAAATGAAAGTAGTTATTAACGATTGTTTATTGTTAACTTCTTATTTTTACTATAAATTTATTAAGCTAATTACTAAACGTCAGTTTAAACCTTGTCTTGTCAACAAAGATAACTTATATTTTGCCAACAAAAAAAAAAAATGGATGCTCTGAATGCTGAGTGATTCATTGATATCATCCTTGCTGCAGTTGGCCTTCCCATAGTGCAAGCACGAGAATGTTGAAGTATATAATGCAGGCTCTCCATTTCCAGCATATTTCAGTGATCAGTAAGCTTACTAGTTTTACATCACAAACCTTATGCACTATATTTCTTGTATCAAAATAGATACGAACAATATGCTTGGGAGCCATGTAAATCAGCACATCATACTTTGCCTTCCTTGTTGTTTTGAAGTGCTGTCGACGCAGGACGAAAGCCGTTTTCTTTACAATTTCGTAAAATTTGGTGCTACTGATTATCTGGTCAAGCCATTATGCATTGATGAGATATTAAACCTGTGGATCCACTCTTGTAGGCAGAGGAAGCCTCCTAAGGTAGGCATCCCTCTCTCTTTTTTTTTTAACATGAGAATGGCTGGTTACTGAGTGATCCACATTGTGCTCAAATCTTTCCCTTGTCACCAACTAAGCAAACAGTTAAATCGAAAAACACTCATATATGTGTCTTTGTTTGGTTTTTATTTTCTCTTAAACGGGCTCGAGCCGCCACGGAAGAGCATTAGTCTTGTGGTTTCAGCCAAAGCAACTATGAACAACATCTTGGTGTTAGATGACACTATCACAGATGAAGAGTTTCCAGAGGATCCAGAGCCGACTTTGTGCGCATGCGTATCAAAAAAATAAATGGCATGATTATAATGACTGAGCTTCTATGTTGCAAACAAAATTTGGTTATCCATGAACTTCAAAATCCAAATTGTTGCAGGAAAATAAGCATATGCTCCATGAAGGAAATGCTTAGGCTCAGAAGGGTTTATTTTATAGTTCATGCTTGCTTTTATGATTCAAGAAAAATCTAGGGTTAAACATTTCCCTGGCCTCAGACAGAAGAAACAAGCACCTAGGAGGGATCCACCATGACTATTAGCAAGGTTGGTTATACATATAGATTTTATGTAGCAGATGAACACCAGTGGTATTAAGAGCAAGGGGAACAAATTTGAAATGGTCCAAAATCCACCCAAAGTGTTGCGATGCTAAAAAGTCCACTGTTTCTGGTTTTTCCTATTTAAAAGTAATAATAACAATTAACCAAAATGATATGTTATTGTAGCTAACAATTAACCTAATGATTTCTGTAATTAAATTTGATTAGAGATTGAACAAGCACAAACCAATATTGAATATAAATAAATACATGATGTCGTTTCTATCCTTGATAGCTCAATTTTGGTTGCTCTTGTAGCGAAGATCATGAGATTCCTGAAAAGGTTTGCTTTGGCAAAACCTTGTGCCCCATTTCATCTTCCTAAAACCCAACTTCACACACACCTCAAACCACCTAAAGCAAACCAGACCCTTAAGAGATACCTCAAATCCAATTGCACCATCAAAGCTTTCTTACTGTTTAGAGACATATTGAGAAAAAGCCCTTCCACAATTGATAGCTATACTCTCTTGTTTGTCCTCAAAGCTTGCTCCCAAAAGTCTCTCTCACTTGAGGGGAAACAACTGCATGCCCTTTTGCTTAAGTATGGCTTTCAATCCGTAGTTTACCTCCAAACATCTCTTATGAGTATGTACTCTGCTGCGGGTATTGTTGTAGATGCACACCTAGTGTTTGATGAAATACCCTGCAAAAACATCGTTTGCTGGACCACCTTGGTTTCTGCTTATGTCGACGATCAACAGCCTAGCAAAGCTCTTCAGCTGTTCAGGCAGATGCAGATGCACAGTGTGGAACCTGATCAAGTTACGTTGACAGTTGCTCTCTCCGCGTGCGCTGATCTCGGAGCATTGGAAATGGGAGAATGGATTAATGCTTATGTCCGTCGTAAATATGAGTTCGATACAGATTTAAGCTTGAGCAATGCTCTTGTTAACATGTATGCAAAATGTGGGGATATTGGAACTGCAAGGAGATTGTTCGATAGCCTGCAAGAAAAGGATGTTATGACTTGGACATCAATGATTGTGGGGCATGCGTTACATGGACAAGCAGAAGAAGCGCTTAAACTCTTCGGACAAATGAAAGAAGCGAGTAATAACACCAGGAAGAACACGAAGGACGGTAGCTATGGAAGCTCTTCAATTGTCCCGAATGACGTTACTTTCATAGGAGTTTTGATGGCCTGCAGCCACGCAGGGCTGGTAGAGGAAGGGAAGTGGCATTTCAAAAGCATGTGTCAAGAGTACGGTTTGAAGCCCAGAGAAGCTCACTTCGGCTGCATGGTGGATCTTCTCTGCCGAGCCGGGCTTCTGCAAGAAGCTTACGATTTTATTTCGAAGACAGAAGTGCCTTCAAATGCAGTGGTTTGGAGGACATTGCTGGGTGCATGCAGCCTCCATGGAGATGCTGAACTTGGGTCACAAGTGAGGCAGAAGCTGCTTGAGTTGGGGCCAAGTTATGTTGGCGATGATGTTGCTTTGTCCAACATCTATGCTGCCAAAGGCATGTGGGAGAAGAAGGTGATTGTTAGAGACCAAATAAAGCAAAGAAGATCTCCTGGTTGCAGTTCAATTGAGGTGGGGAGGAGCATTGCTGAAGCAAAGAAGATCTCAAGCAGTTGATTCTAAGTATATGGCCACTCTCCTGAGCTTTCAAGCCTAAACGAGTCTTGAGGGTGAACAAAGGTTGTAGTGCAACTGTGTTGCTACTTGTAACTTAAATATCAGCACTTGTTTTATATGTTTCAAGATGGACGTTTATTTTCTGAGGAGGAATGCATGAATGATCTCAGGAAAATTAAAGAAAGAATTTAATCTTAAGTTTAGATTGGTTATATAAACATAATGAATTAAAGTCAACTACATTTGATTTTACTAACAAACAATGACAACTCACCTTCATTTGGTGCCAACACACAATATCACAACGTCACGATACATATGCAAATGGATTCCAACCTCTGTATTTAAAGATTCTTAAAGATTCCAAACCTATACATTGAAAGATACATGCTACATCTAGAAATATTTTAATCAACTAATCAAATAACTTAAATGTAATACGTCAATTTTGAAATTATGACACATCTATATTTAATTAACAATTGTTCTAATAATTTAATCTGATAACTTTAATATAAGCCGTAAAATTTTGAAATTTTGACACACACATATATATTTAATTAACAAATATTCTAATAATTTAATCTATTAACTTAAATATACGCCGTAAATTTTGAAATTTTTGACACACATATTTAAGTAACTTCAACTTGACATTATTAAGTCTAAATCAAAACAAACAATAGAGAAAAAACCAAAAACCTGACCCCACCTTGACAGCCGCCCATGACCGAACCCAAACCACCCCACCATACCCTTTTAAGAAGAACTTACATGTAATGTAGATGCCACCGTGACGGTATCCTAAACCTATCAAGTATTATTACATTGAAAATTTGTATTGTTATGTCGAAAAGTTGAAATACATGGTAATAAGTGATTGATTCGGAATTAAACCACAGTGATATTCTGGTATAAATAAGTTTTTATCCACTTCACGGTTGCAACCCCTTCCCTCCATGCCGCCGGCCAACGCCCTCTCCTCTTTTTCCGCCTATTTCTCCCTCTCTTTTGAGTTCAAACAACCATGAAGCGTCCGGACAAATCAATTCATGGAATCTTTCGAGCTCGGCTAGCCTACGAGCACCCACACCCATGTTCCCGACCACTGGCGGACCCAGAAATTTTTGAGCGGAGGTGCAATATTGACTAAGTATGAAAATGGTTTTTCGGAATAATCATTTTCTCAAGATAATTTTTGGCGGCTTTTATTCCTTATACATCAAATAAGAAAACTTGAATTTATGGGATTTTAGTATGAAGTATATATTGACTTAATGAGCCATCATTTTTAGCTTAAATCGTATTTTGCACTAAAACCGAATTTTCATATTTTGATTTGGTGGGAATTTGATTTTCTAGTATTTTTATTTGAATCCAAATGGGGGGTACTTCCTTATTTACATTGTAAACTTAAGTAAATGGAGTAATATAAAAATAAATAAAAGTAAAAAGACAAAGACATTTACTTAAATGTTGAAAATGGAAATAAGGTAATCTGTACACCAGTTGAGCAAAGGGGCAATTTGAAGCACCTACAATGAGGTGCAACTGCACCTCCTTGCTCCTTAATAGATCCGTCTCTGTTCCCGACACAAGACACTCCAGAATACTGAAAATCGGTGGGGGTGGGGTCAGCTGTGAGGTTCGGGTTGGGAAGGTGGGGGGTGGCTGCTTTTTAATTTAATTTTAATTGTTTATCATTTTATCCGGACCTTTTTTTTGGGGAGCAATTATTTAGACTTTTTTTTTTTTTTTTTTTTGGAAGTAGCAATTATTTAGACTTAAGAATCACTTAACAGCTTGCCACCTATACTATACTCGCACTCCACTTCTCATCCATTTTATTATTATTTTTCCTTTTATATTATTTTGGACTTTTAATTTAATATATTTTTTGGACTTATCCAAGTCTCAAGAATTGATTGCTTTTCTCTGATATTTATCTTGCATTTTGCTTTGTCAATATCATCCCCCTGTTTTGGATTTGTTATCGTCTCTGATACCACCCAAAATTAGCAAACAAGCTGTAAAGTTTGAGCCTTTATATCATTTTGATGAATCTTGATCGGTAACAGTTCCCTCATTTATGTCATTAGCCTATCCTATCCGTTCAATTAATTTTCTGCAAGTTTCATGAACTGGAGCTAGGGTTCCATTTTCTACGTGTGACCCATTAATCTTTCTCATTCTCTACCTGTAGTCTGAGATTTGTGCAGCAGAAAACCCCACTTTGAGTTTCAGTAATCCCACGACGTTTTGCCTCTACTTGACCGTTATGGAGACCGCTGAGCTACAAAGGGTTGGAGTCGTTCAACGTGTTCCTCTGCTTATCATTAACTTCGTTGCTGGAGCTCTGGTTTTGCTCTGTGCTCTTGGTATTTACAAATCCTTATTGCTTTGTTTTATTTTATTTTGCTTTCCTCTTTCAATCTTGAATTTTTAGCGGTTGTGATATCATATCAGCTCGTGGGTTTTGGTTATTTTTCAGATATGTCAAAGTGCGTGCCTGTGTTTGTTGTGTTTGTATGGAACTTCATGTTTTGAACTTGATGTTCATGGTGTTTTCATTTCTATTTTTCAATAAATGTTTGAAGAATTGTAAATCTAATATGTAACTAAGAAATTGATGTTATTTTTCCCATGTCCGATTATGAAGAAGCTGATGTAACTATATAATAGTAGTGATATATATTCTTTTTAATGGGGATTGCTTTGCGTCTTTACATTATCGTCCTCTTGCAGCTGGATTTTTCACAGGAGGTATTGCTGGTGCTTTAGCTGGAAAAGCTTCTGATAAAGGTGTTGTTCGTGGAGCTGGACTGGGTGCTGTTGCTGGGGCTGTACTCTCTGTAGAGATTTTGGAGGCGTCACGTGATTTACTGCGACTAGGTCGGCCTGGTTCACGAAGATCTTCATTGATGGTTAGTTGTTACGCTCTGGTATATAAGTTTCTCTTTCTTTCTTTCACGCCAAAGGAGATCCTTAGAAATGTCTGAACCATGATTGAAATTTTTTGGTTTTCAGCTGAAGTTTATAATCAGGGACCCATAGTTAAGCTTATACAGGCATAGCATTACATCATTGTAATACTAGAGACTGATTGTCTATTTTTTGAGTTCAGGCAGAAATTACAGAGGAGCTTATTTGTTGGAGATTTGAGGAGGAAAACTTAGCACCACCAGAAGGGCACACTGCTAACCAGTGGCAGGTTTTCACTCTTTAACCCAAAAACTTTTTTCTTTTAATGCAATTTCATTTGAAAGTTGAAAATTTTGTGGGTGCACATAGGCATGTCCAGTTTAGTTGGATGCTAGCAAGCGGATTGTGTTTCCCTTTCTCTCTCAGCTATCAATTTTGACTTCCTTATTACACCTTGTCGCCTTTTCTTTGCTCCCAAATTTTTTATTCCTAGATTTTCATATGACCCAGCTGCTTTTGAATCCAACCTTTGACCTCATTACACCTTGTCGCCTTTCTTACCACTTTATTGTTCTGAAAATTAATGATGGGACAAGTTATTCAAAAAAACTCTGATGGTGTGTCCCTCAGTTGCTTTTTATCTAATTTATTAAGCTGGAATGAGCAGGTTACCTTCGCTAATCTTCGCCGTGATGAGATTTATGATGCCTTTGGAGGATCTGAAACTAAAGGGCTGTCAAGGGATGTGCTGAAGAAACTACCATCTCATGTGATTGTTGGGGATACCAGGGCAGCTCAAGGTTTCTGTTGTACGATATGTTTGCAGGTCAGAACTCTTTCTAGGAATGCTTGAACTTTTTGTTTCTGGTAGTTGTAAGTGTTGATGTGGCGAAGATAATAATAGTTGTTGTACTGCTATTATAGAAATTGCTTAATCAATACGTAAATCTTAATTTTGTATAAATATCTCTATAATTATCTTTAATATTTCAAGAACGGTGCAATTACCCTACATGTATTAATTCACTTTGATTTAACTGAAAGGGCTCTGCCTAAATCTCAACGATAACAATATGGTTTCTGCAGGATGTTGAAGTAGGAGAAATTGCAAGGACCCTGCCCCTGTGTCAGCATAAATTTCATCTGGCATGTGTGGACAAGTGGCTCATCAGACATGCTTCGTGCCCGTTATGCAGACAAAATGTGTGAATGAAATACATGTATTTTGTGTACAGTGGTGTTTCAAAGAGAAGTTACTAGCCCATTAGTAATGTATATAATGGTTATGGTCTTGTCCTGTACTTTTAACCTTTGCAGTTTGGGGGTTTGTTTTTTTTTGTTCTTTTTTCTGTGCAGTGTAAATAACATAGTTCCTTATGAGGCATTATGTTACTCCTTTTAAAGATGGAGTGGATATTGAAAGTTGCTGTTTTAGATGCAAGTTATCAATACAAAAATTTCAGAAATGTTGGGAAAGAAACTTTTTGCTTTGCAATGAAAATGCATTTGTGTATTTCAGACATTTTCAGAAATTTATGCTCCCCCTTGATCTTCTTCTCGTGCTCATTTTACTCTTAAGTCAGTATTTTCCTTCGACATTTCATTGTTTTTGGATGTCCGGAGGCCATTTCACTCAGAGTCAATATTTTCCTTTTGCATTTCATTAAACCCAAACGCATGCTCGCTGTTGAGGAGCTTTGCTTTATGCAGATAGCAAAATTTTGATAAACTATGTAGATAACATAATTTAATTTCTTTTTGGCCTGAATGCGCTGTTAGTGTTTAAGTTTCGAACTCTGATTTAATTCAAAAAGGCAAGGACGAAAAAAGGGAAGACAAGAAAATCCTTCATTAAGATGGAATGATCTGTTACAGAGCCAAGGGCTTGAAGTTCGAATTATCAAACCCCTGTATGGTACAGAATCTATGCATCACAGGGGGACCGCAGACTTGATTGCTTAATAGTTTATCTCTGTTCTCTGATACAAGAGAAGGTGAAAATGATGAGTATGCTTCCGAGCTTGTACTTAAATTTCTGCATATACAAAGATAACTTTGTTCAGGTTAGTCAAAAAAATTGTCAGAACAAGACCAAAATCATGCTTTAAAGAATCTCTTCTAAATTTACAAGCTTTGCTATTGCTCAAATCCATAGCCGTGCATCATGTCTGGAAATTCAAGAAGTCATCAAGCAGATGAATTTCAAGAAAACAATTTGGGCTGCATATTGGTGAATTGATTTACAGAAAATGCTAATAGGTTTTTGCTTATCACCACTGTTGAGGATTTCTTACCATGGTGATTCTTTTTCCCTTTTTCTCGTCTAATTGCAGTAATCCTATCCAACTACAGTACCAGAAATATCATACTCTGAAAATTCATTCAGAAACTCAAATGAAGTGAGGATATAACATATATGGCAATGATGACTAGAATCACCTTTCGAAAACAACAGGATCATTTGGAGGTCATTTCACACTGCAACTGCTACAGGCCTTTTACTGTTCTTGATTCCTTTTATAGCTGCAAGATGGTAAATAGAAGCCAACATCAAGATATAAGTGCATTAGTTCATCTGGACTAATAATATAGGTTTCCGATCTGTACGGTTTATACCTTCAGCATAATCTTTAGCTCCAAAGACAGCAGAACCGGCAACAAGAGCATTAGCTCCAGCCTCAATAACCTGCCACCATAGCAAACATTTGAAACTGGACTCATTGCATCCTAAGTCGTGCACCTCCTTTCACACTTAACAAATGTGTTCAGGTTCAATTAATCAACACGACCCTGCCCCAACCCCCATTTTTCTTTACGGAACCTTTTCCCCAAGTCCCACTTTCTGCATTGATTTTATACTTCAATATTGTGGATCACAATGATAATGTCAAACATAATCTGAATCCAACAGTTGTTTTAATGTTTTCAGAGAGGGTAAGTTAGATTTTCCGATTACTTCTTAGCATGATGTAGTTAACCATCAGGCTCCATTTCAATTATTTTATAACAGGTACATCAACACTTGGTCCACACACCTTATATGCATTTGCTGGACCAACTCCACCATCCACTTCAATCCATGGGTTCACCCCCTGTAGTAATAAAAACAAACTATGAATATCTCTTCAGCTCACATAAAATGCAAGAATAGAATCCCACAAAATATGAATAGAGATCATACTTTCTCCACGCACAGTCTTCTTAATTCTGAAATTTTCTTCACTTGGCTCTCTATGAAGCTCTGCCCGCCAAAGCCAGGGTTTACCGACATAATCAAGACCAGATCAACCACTGAAACATGCAACAGATAGTCAATATCACTACTTTTCACTAGATGATATACCATATAACTCCAATTATAATATTGTTAGATGACTTAATACAGGAGTAACACTCATTTTTCTCTTTGTACTCTCCCTTCCCATGCATGAGCTCATCTTTTAAAAATTAAGGGACAGATAAGTTTTTGTTTTTTAAGGAATATTCTGGCAGATTTTTTTATACAAGTTTTCCTTTCTTATGATATTTACATATATAAAATAGTTGTACTACTACAAGTAATTTCTGTAGAAACCATTGCTTGTTGTCAATACCATTAACCAATAATCCCCTCCAATATCTATATGTTAAAAACCTTTAGCAGAATACTGGTATCCGACAAAAAAATTGGTCTTTTCGCCATCATGTTTATTCTTGTTATCCAGATTTTCTTCACCTTTTCGTTTACTATTTCAATTATTTGAAGCTTAGCCTGTCAGGAAGGCTAGGTATGTAACTAGACCCAATCCCATGGGCAAAATACTCCACAAAGAGGAAAGAGCCTTGAGAAGCAAGATCCCCTTTAACGTTTTTATAAGGCAACAGCACGACTATATTCCCTAAAAGAATGAGAACATATAATATTTTCACAGAAACACTCACCATCAAGGACGTAATCTATTGCAGTTAGTGGGGTACCAGGGTTGAGGACAACTCCAGCTTTAGCTCCCAGACTCTTTATCTGAATAATAATAAAAGTGTAGGATTACTAAAAAGATGAATTAGTAGCACAAACCATATTCCTTTTCTCGTAATGATTGCATCTTATGCACCATAAATGTATGGTTACTTAACACAGTGTCTATAGCAGGGATAAGCCTAAATGCATTCCCATAAAACAAGAAAAACAATTTGGATCATGCAGCCCTAGCTTGGTTTCACCATCTATGTCTATCACTTCTTCACTTCTCACAATTTGGATAAGCCTAAATACATCCCATGAATTCTGAGTAGAGACAAGATAACACAAAACTAATTTTAATGTAACTCAGATGTCTCCATGTTTTGACACATGTGCAATCACAAGGATAAGAGGGAAATCTTACCTGATTAACTGAACGATGTAAATGGATGGTGGACGATTGTTCAGCATGAACACTGACAATGTCGGCTCCAGCTTTGATAAAATCTGGCACTCGCTGCTCAGGTTCCACAATCATCTGGAGCATTTAAATTTCATATTAGTTCTTGCTTTTTATTCAATGTCTATCCAATTCATATCAAAACATGTGGAACAAAAAATACCAGATGCACGTCCAACGGAAGGTCTGTCACAGGGCGCAAGGCATCAACTACAAGAGGTCCAATGGTAATATTTGGAACAAAACGACCATCCATTACATCCACATGAATCCAGTCACAACCTGCCAACTCTACAGCTTTTACCTAGATAAAGTGAGAGTCAAACTCTAACGCCCAAACCAATATGAAAATGCCACAAATATCAGCAAAACTGCTAAGAGTTTCAACTTATATTTCTACATTTGAAAATCTGATGCTACAATTCTAAACAATTTTTTGGCAATGAAACAGATTATAGACAATTTCAAGTTTCCATAATCCATGTTGCCCTTACAATTTAGTAACTGAAAAAGAAAATTCCACTAAGAAGTTAAAAAATAAGAATAGAACCTGCTCTCCCAACTTTGCAAAGTTGGCAGAAAGAATAGATGGAGAAACAATTATATCACTTTTTGAGAATTTATCAACCCGAGCTGAAGCCTTCACCAGAGTCTTACATTTCTTCCTGAAATCAAACGAGCACGATTGCAGTCAAGCACAAAGTCAAATACCAATATATCAAACTTGATGACCATAATATCTATTTGAACGCAGCACACAGAAATCTTCTCTTTATAAACAAAATCAAATGAATACATTTACTTGAAATTCACCCTTCTCATAAAGCAAGAAAGAATCACTATTTTCTTAATGGCACTTTGAAGGAAAGCACATATGGGTGCAGCTCCAAAAAAGTTATCTTCATCTATGCCAACAGTCATCATCAGAATAAAATGATTTCCAGTATAAATTTTGACTCACGCCAATAAAACTGTGTGACAGTTTTTCAGAAAATTTAAACATTTCCAACGGTGTATTACTTTTCACAACTGGGTTTCATCCGAACACACAAATATGATATCCTAGACTTGAAAATCCAAAATACAATCAAACCCAATTGGAATTCAAAGGAAAAAAAAAGGTACACCAAATCAAGAAAACAATACCTTGTGAAGGTAAGAGAAGTGGGCTGAGAAAGACATGGTTTTTGAAGCTTAAGACCTCCACCAAGTCCATTGATCTGGGACTTGAGAGTTGATGAGCAAAGTGAAGCAGCTGACATCTTTTTCCCTCTGAATCTCTGCCTGTGGCTTCAACGGTTAGTTGGTGCCGTAGTGAGAAAAAGGTTTGGTCTTTTCTTTCTTCTAATTCTCTCTTTGCCTTCCCACCAATCCTTCCGCGCAGGATTGAAAAAGAAAAATCTCGGAGAAATTCAGGAAGAAAAAACCTGTGGGCGACACGTGTCACCACGGGTTTTTTTGTCTTCGTGTGTGTGTGTGTGTGTGGATTTTCTTATCTGCAATGGTTGGCGCTCTATGGTTGTAATTTGCAAGTAGCCAAAGGCCGTTTGCTAACGTTGGGCTCTTGTCCCCATACTTCTGTTGAAAACATAGTTTTTCTTTTTTTAGTCGAAACTGTTGAAAACAGACTTAACAAGAAATTCAATTTGTCCACCTAATTAAGGGTGCTGAAATGTTTTTCTTTCACTAACTTACAAGTCAGTGTGACAACGTAGGTAATTTTGTTTCCTCTTACAAATCACCTTAAAATGAAGAGAAGACAACCTGTTAAGCAAACAGAGAGAAGAGCTTGGTATATTTGGCAATGGTTAGGTGAATGCAACTACTTAGGCTTCAGTTGTAAACACAATCTGTAATTAATTCAAAATCACCTTCAATTGGAATTTGTTTGAAACCATGACCTATTCGTACTCTTCATACTAGTAGTCGTGAGATTCTCCGAGTTATGAATAAAATCTCTATTAGAATGTTGATCAATCGAGTGCGTATTCATATATTAAAGAAATTTTGAAATGGAGTTGAAGAATGTGCAAGTATGCTCTTTAATGATCATGGTACTTATTATTCACTTCATATGCAAGTGCAGATGATCAATGTTACCAAATTTGCATTGGCACTTGTAAATTGCTACCTCAGCTTTGTGTTCAACTATGCATATATAGGGCAATAATGCCCACATCCAACTCAAAATGTTGTGAACTATCTTAACTGTATTGTAGACTTGGTTGCTCTATTGACCAATGTGTCAAATATAACAACGATACTCTCCTTTTTCTTTTTTCTTTTCCCTTTCTTTCTTTCGATATATCATCGCATTTTTTCTCTTTTGACTGCCTCGTATTTCAACATGTTTGTTTGTGTTTTGTGATGCCAGGGAAAATGCATGCATGACTGCTCCAACAAACAAATACTGCGACATGAAGCATCCGAGAATTCTCCAAGAAATGTATATAGTGCCACATCAAAGCTCCTAGTCCCAATAATTACATACAACATGTCAATGTGGTTCGAACAAGGCACATTTATGATGTTATTGTATTGAAATAAAGTATATATGGTTTAATAAAGTGAGACCTTGTTGAAGTGATTTCTAAGGAACATCCAATCGTTTTCACATTTCAAAACCCATTAGAAATGAATTGACTTGGATTAGATTGGATCAGGCAGATTGGATTGAATATGAACACTCCGTCATTCTCTCTTAGGGTAATTGAAATTTAATTTTTCACATTTTATAAAAGATTACGTTAATTCAACTATAAACAGAAATTTTTACATGTTATCATAGTGTCATACGCTCATACATTCATAGAACGAAAGCAAAAGAATAATATAGTATCTTGATAAGAAAAAACATAACATAACATATTAAATTTATAAATATTGAGAATGCTTCATGGATTTTATGTTAAGAATTTCTAATATTAATCATTAGATTGCATGTATGGTGCATGTTAAACTCACTAACACATCTAATGGATGGTTGAGATTAGAAATCCTTAACCAATCATTAACTTAAAATCATAAATATTACTAAACTTGTTTTGAAACCTTAAGGGGTATACCTTAGTTGGTTCAGCTCTTCCACATCCACCCACGTGAGCAGAGGTTCAAAACCCTGAGGCATCCAATGAATATTTGAGTAAACTCTCATTCCCCAATTGCTTGTTTTGAAAGGTGTAAGTAAAATCATTGGGTTCCCAGCCGAAAAAAAAAATCACTGGGTCTGGCTTGGGCCACAAATCCATTCGGGATTTTTAACATTTGATCCAGCCCACAAGTTTTGGATTTAGGGAGCCAAGTTCAGTCCCTAAATCAAAATGATTAGGCCATTTTGCCCACGTGAGGGGTTGGACTTTAGCCCACTTCTTTGTACTGGAGTGTCCCAACGATGAACATGGCCGCACCGACATATCAAATGTAAATTTTTGGACGTGCCTGCCACTATTGGCTATCTATCCGATTGTAGGAAATCTTATTCAATACCAATTGTACTGAATCCCTGCCACCCCGGCTTCTTCTTCTTCTCCCCCGAACCTGCAAGTTCAACTTCACAGTCCAAAACCAGTCATAGGAAGCACAATTCTACGATCCAACTCACCCACCCATTGGTCCAAATAGACCCAGATCAGAATACTACTGCGTCAAAGTGGGCCTGAGCTGGGTCTTGGCAATACCCAGATGAAGATTTTCAGAAAATGAAGAGGTTCAAGCAAAACCTTGATGGTGATCATTTATCTACCCACTTGGATTTGGATACCCGTAATGCTCTGAGGGACCCGGATAGGAAATCTGGTTTGAGTTCGATGAAGGTGATGGGGATCTTTGTGGCTGGCTTGATTGTGTTTTCGGTGCTCTTTTCAGTGAATGTGGTTCTCAGAGACCCACCTTCGGATGCCGTTTTTGAAACTTCAAAAGCTCGAGTTCTTGAAGTGGAACACAGAAAAGGTAACAGATTTAAGCTTAATTTTTAGTATGATCTAGTTGGATTTGGTTAATTTTAATTTCACTGTGATTTCTGTACCAATTTGAAGTCTTTAGTTTAATTGGGTTTGAAAGATTTTTTATTGGGTCATATAATAAAAGAACTACAATTTGATTGACGTTCTCGAAGCTTTTGCATGAGCTGCACTATAGTTCTTGAGAGCAAGTTGAACTTAAGGACTTGAGGAACTTTTACTGCTTGCGGTTTGGCAAACTTTTTGGCCTTTTCTACTACTTCACCTTTTGTTTTCTTAGTGCCTTTAGACTGGCTCAAATCCTGCACTTCGTCAGCTACATTGGCTGATTTTCATCCTTTGGTTTCTTGTGGGTTGGAGTCGATACGAATATGTCCTCTAAAATGGAAGAAGTGCTGTTGGTTGTTAAATTACTGCTCTGTTTCCATTTCTGACTACTTTGTTATCATATTTAGTTGTCTGCTATGTTTCCATTTCCAACTACTTTGTTTAATATATGTGTTATCACATTTAGTTTCTTTGTTTCAATCTCCTTTTGTGTTTTTCTTTGTGTTAATTTTTTTCTTTTGCTTTCAAATGCTGTCACTACCCACTTTTTTTGGTTATTCTCTTAGTGCCAGAAAATTCATATGCAATCCATACTTGTGAGTCACATGATGCAGCTATGATGGTGATATAAATCCCTTAATAGGTTGTTCTAGTATTCGTAGGTTCTGATAATCTACTTCTGAGTGATGCATATATGTAAAGTTCCTGGTCTGTCTACTTCTGTCAAGCTTCTAACATTGCATCGTTCTTTTTTCATTTTGCAATTCATAGATTCAGAAGATCAATTTTCAGAGTCTCTTGAGGTGCCAAAGGATAAATTGCTTAGAGGCCTTCTCGCTGATGGATTTGATGAGGGATCTTGTGTCAGCAGATACCAGTCAGCTTCATATCGTAAAGAACTGCCATACAGACCCTCTTCTTACCTTATATCCAAGTTGCGAAGCTATGAAGCTCTACATAAACGGTGTGGACCTTATACTGAATCCTATAACAAAACCTTGGAACAACTCAAGTCTGGCTATCACACAAGCTCCCTGGATTGTAACTATGTGGTATGGATTTCCTTTAGTGGATTAGGGAATAGGATATTGACCTTAGCTTCAGCATTTCTTTATGCTGTCCTGACAAACCGGGTTTTACTAGTGGACCCTGGAGTTGACATGGTTGATCTCTTCTGTGAACCATTTCCAGAAGTCTCGTGGTTCCTCCCCATGGATTTCCCCCTTAAGAATCAGTTTGACAGCTTGGATCAGAAATCACCTCACTGTTATGGGAAGATGCTGAAGAAGAATAGCAACTTTACAAATTCCGATGGTTCGGTGATGCCATCTTTTGTATATCTCCATCTAGCCCATGATTATGATGATCAAGATAAGCTTTTCTTCTGCAGCCAAGATCAAACTTTTCTCCAAAAGATACCATGGTTGATCATGAAAACAGATAACTATTTTGTTCCATCTCTTTTCTTGATTCCATCTTTTGAGCGAGAACTAAATAATCTCTTCCCGAGGAAGGAAACGGCTTTCCACTTTTTGGGTCGATACCTTTTCCACCCCACAAATGTAGTATGGGGACTTATTACCAGATACTATCAAGCTTATTTGGAAAAAGCAGATGAAAGAATAGGCATCCAGATCAGAGTTTTTGATACAGGAACTGGCCCCTTTCAACACGTGTTTGATCAGATCCTAGCCTGTGCGGTGAAGGAGAATTTGCTACCAGAAATCAACAGGCAGGATTTCATCGTCAATCCATTGGGAACCCCAAAGTCGAAAGCTGTGCTGATGACATCTTTAAGTACTGGGTACTTTGAGAAGCTCAGGGACATGTATTGGGAGCATCCTACTGTGACAGGGGAGGTGATTGGCATTTATCAGCCTAGTCATGAGGAGTATCAACAGACCGAGAAGCTAATGCACAACCGCAAGGCATGGACCGAAATGTACTTGCTAAGTTTGACAGATGTGCTGGTCACAAGCTCATGGTCAACCTTTGGGTATGTCGCGCAGAGTCTTGGAGGGCTGACACCATGGATACTCTACAAACCCGAGAACAGGACAGCACCCGATCCACCTTGTCAGCGAGCCATGTCAATGGAGCCTTGCTTCCATGCGCCTCCCTTCTATGATTGCAAGGCCAAGACAGGAGTGGACACCGGCAAATTAGTTCCTCATGTGAGGCATTGCGAGGATATGAGCTGGGGTCTTAAGTTGGTTGATAGTTAAGATGAGTTGTAGCTGCGTTATATGTCTGTTTTTTATTATATATATATCCAAAGTTAGTAAGGCTAAGGGAGAGTGGGAAAACTCACACACACGGGTACCGTGGGGGTTTGAACCCAGGACCACTTGGGAGCACACCAAAGGCCTGAGCCAATCTAACTGACACTCCACTGGTAGCTGGTTTATTTGTCTGTTGTAACCGTTTGATCATGAATAACAAATTTGCATTTTTTTTCAGGTACACCAATGTGTGTGTGTGTGTGTGTGTGTTTGTGTATGTACGTACTTAGTGTGTGTGTATATATATATGTATCATCTCTATAAAAAATCACTTGATCCGATATCATTTGATCACTCAATTGAGTTCTTGAAATTTTAGTACTTTATTGAAGCACCGTGTTCATTGATTTTGTAGGACATAATTGGATGTCGAAACGGTTTTTGATTTGTCTAATTTTTTGCAAGGATGATCTATGAATATAGACTTAAAAAATAGATGGTTTGGATCGTTGAAAATAAATTCGTAGGATACCTAAAGTGTGTTTCTCAAATAAAATTATTTGATGGATTCCTTAATAGAATGAGACTGAATATATATATATATATATATATTCATATATATATATATATATATCATTGATAGTATTTTCAACCTTTTTATGATTCAACAACAACAATAGCAATTGAGAATAAGGGGTCAGTCAACCAATCTCAGACATTGAATTGGTATACATTTGATTTGGTTTTGCTGTAATTATGTAATTGGATGCTTAATTGATATTGTAGTTAAGTTTTGCTTGAATTAGTTGACCTTTGACAAGTACCCACCAACTCCAAGTCCAAATCACCTAAGGCACTGTTAGCTTGAATTAGTATAACAGAAGCAATGATATATCTTTATATTTATACCGGGTACAAATGCTAAACTACATGAAAATTGCAATAACCCATAATCCAAAATTGACAATTAGATAAAACTAATTTCTTCCCAACTCATCATTCGTCATATAGATGCATGCAACACCACCTTACATTACAGGTTTTTTTGTTCTTCCACTCGTAATCCTTCCCTCCGCCATGTTTTCGTTTGGGTTTGTTTTTTGTGATTGGCCTTTTCATGATGCATGCCGCCCATTTCATGCTACATGGCGGCTACTCCAGCTTGGCTACTCTCTGCAAAACCCAATAATATTACGATAAAATAAATTCAAAGGCTATAAAAACACTTAGAAATTCACACAATTGAAACTTTTGATTCATGGTCATTAAATAAATAAAAAGATTTCATTGTAGACGCATTTCTTTCACCTTAGCCATGGGCAAGCAAGAAGCTTACGATGACTCCCCTCATGGATCAAAAACTGCTTATCATGTTCATCTAAAGTGGTTTCTTCTTGTTTTGGCTGATTCTTACTAGTCACATTCTCCTCTTCTATAGGTTCGTAATCTCCGCACTCACTGAGTCATAATAATAAAAAACCTTATTACATTCAAAATGTGAATTAATTCCAACATACAGATGTAATTTTATTGATGAAAACACAAGTAACATGAAGATAACTTACGACGTGAAGCAGAACTCAAGCGAGAACAATTCAAGGCCCTTGATATCCACAGGATGAACATGTGAATGTATGGTCTTGATCATAGATCTTCCCCCTTCTCCAACAATAATTTGAAACGTGGTGATACAAAGATATTGAACCACAGGACATGCTTTGCCATTGGGACTGCCAGTCCTAACATGAAAAAAGTCTTTGTTGCCCAAATAAACCAAATACCCTGTCTTAACTCGCAAAATGACACTAGTGGACGAACACTCTTCAGGCCACGCAATATAAATTTTGGGCTTAGGTAATATGCAATGCCATCATCTTCACCTTTGTCCATCCTAAATGAGAATGCTATAATCACCTTCTCCATAATCGCATGTAAGGCATAGATAGTGTCGCCTACAACCACGGCCCTCCCTCGAAAAGAAGCATAAGAAGCAGAAGTCACTCGATTCCATTGGTTTCTACTATCATGAAATGCACCCACATATGGATTCATATAGGAGTCCGACAATGAAAACAAAATAATGCCATAACAAACGGCATAACCAATTATTTCAGTATGGCTCCCATAGTCATGATAAAATGGAAAAGAAATCATTCGCTCCCAAAGGTCTTGATTAGGATCATATCTCTCGAAGGAGGGCTCCTTAATTGTTGATGAGCACCATGGAGCTGCAACATAGTAAAGCTTGTCATAAGCAGACACAAGAGTTCCTACTGGTTTAGAGGCTATGCTTGGAGGAAGGGATGAACAATATGACCCAGTCTTGGTATCAATACTATATCCTAATGGTCTGCAAGATTTGGCTCCGCGAGTTGTGTTATAACCGTCTTGTGGAATGATGTATAATTTTGGAGTAGTTGAAAATCCTTGCACCTTGAATGTTAAAATTGTCGTAGTACTCCGCCACAAGTCCAACTTCTAGGGGTTCATGAGCGACTCCTCCATGTTTGAATGTCACTTTATAGATTGAATCAGTGTATTCGCCATCATAAAAAGACACAAATAATATTTTCAAACACCTGCCTACATAGAGAGATTTAATGAATGAAGCAAGGTAAAGGCTGCACCATTTACTTTAGTAAGCATATATACACATAAACAACTGCCAACAAAACAGTAAATATTAAAGAGTAATAGATCGATCATAGTTAAATGCAAAGTTCAATTCATAGAACATATATATATATATATACTGTAAAATATAACATCCGATTCCTCAGAAAATATAACACTATTCATTTTTTTGTTTTTTTCACAATTTTTTTTACCTCAATAATTAATTTGGATAATATTTTCGGGTTCATACGTGTCAATATTATTCATATCTCATAATCGGATAAAATTTTCAATTTTAAATTTCATATAAATTTGAAAAAAATTTGGCTGGTATTTATAGAAAAAAATTAATTAATTTTTGGGTATTTTAAAAAAAAATTTCCAGTATTTTATTGCAAAAAAATTGGCTACTGTTGGATTGGAGGAAAAAATCAGATTGGAGAGCCCAGACGACGCCAATTGGCAACAAAAAAAAAAAAAAAAAATCAAATGAGTGGGCTGACGCCAGCCTGGCGTCAACAATGACATCAGCCCAACCCTCAGGCTTGAGCTCGGGCTGAACTAGCCTGAGGGCCAGCCCGAGTTCGTGGGTCCCACTCCCAACCCGGGCTTGGGCTTCTCGCTGGAACTAGGGTTTTTTTTTTCTCCCCCCAGCCTCTGGCTGGGCTTGCCGCTGGAGTTGCTCTTAGGAAATTCAAAAATAAATAAGGGCAATTTTGTCCATTTTGGCTTCTTTTTTTTTTTTTTTTTAAATTTTAATTTCTCTTTCCTTTGGTCTTTTCCAAAGTCTCCCCACTTTTATTGAAATATTGCCACGTATCTTTTTTTAAAATGAAATATTGTCATTTCAATTTTAGTTTTTAGTTTTTATTTTTTGTGCTAGATTATAGAGGAATATGAGAGTGAGAATGTGAGTGAAGATGAGATTGAGAGATAGGATGAGAGGGGAGGATGGGAGGGAGGAGTAACAAAAGTGAAAACAAAAACTTGAAAGTGAAAACAACTTCAAATATATTTCAGTTTTTAGTTTTTCTTTAAACTTTTGTTATTCCTCCCTCCCATAGTATCAAAATTGAGTCGAAGTTGTGAAAACTGTATCAAAATTAGTGTAAAAAACAAAGTGCCACGGATCCGAGCCCCTGTGCTGGGAAAAAACTAGCAATGAGTTAGGAAGATATGCAGCAAATGCCAAGCCAATAATCTTGAAACAAATGATTAACTACATGAAAATTGCAATAACCCGTAATCCAAAATTGACAATTATCACATAAGTAATTTCTTCCCAACTCATCATTCGTCATATAGCTGACAATTACTTAACTACATTTTAATAATACAAATTTATAAATAAACTCAATCCTAGACATGTATTTATAAAAAAACCCAAGCACTATTTAAACATAGAAACACACCCAAAATCAACCCCAAAGTCAATTTTTTGGGTGTGTTTATAAATGGGTTTTGAGTGTGTGTAATGATGGGTTTTGGGTGTGTTTATATGTTTAAATAGTGTTTGAGTTTTTTTATAATTTCAACCTCTATTTTGGGTGTTTTAGTGAAACTCCCTTTAAATAAATATATATACATATGCCCCCAAAAAAAAAAAACTGAGTTAGGAAGATATGTAGCAAATGCCAAGCCAATAATCTCGGTACAAACGCTTAACTCCATGAAAATTACAATAACCCATAATCCATAATTGACAATTATATAAGTAATTTCTGCCGAACTCATCATTCGTCATATAGCTCTGCATGCAACAGCGTCTCACATTACAGGTTCTTAACTTCCTGGGTTTTTTCTGGTTGGCTTTTCCATGCTGCCTGGCACCTACTTCATACTACATGGCGGTTACTCCAGCTTGGCTTCTTTCTTGGCCTCTTTCTACAAAACCCAATAATATTAAGACATGCAAGTAATTGAGTCTTTTGATTCACGTCATTAAATAAATAACAAGATTTCATGCAAACACATTTCTTTCACCTTTGACATTGGCGAGCAAGAACCTCACTACGAGTCACCTCCCACATAGAAAAAGTCTCATCCTGAGTTGTCTCCAAAGTGGTTTCTTCTTCTTTTGGCTGATTTATACTAGTCACAATGTCCCCTTCTATGGGTTCATAATCCCCGCACTCACTGAGTCATAATAATGAGAAAACTTATTACATAAAGACTACGGTAACATAATCCCAACGTACAAATATAAATTTATTAATGTAAACACAAGAAACATGAAGGAAACTTACGGTGTGAAGCAGAACTCAAGGAAGAACCAATCACGACCTTTGACATCCACAGGATGAACAGTTGAATTTATGGTCCTGATCATATGTTTTCCTCCTTCAACAACAATTTGAAACGTGGTGATACAAAGATATTGAACCTTGGGATGTGCTTCACTATTGGGACTGCCAGTCTTGACATGAAAAAATTCATGGTTACCCAAATGAACCAAATACCCTGTATTAAGCTCACAAAATGGCACTGGCGGACACACAATCTCCAAACCACGCAATATAAAAAGTGGGCTTAGGGAATATGCAATGCCACCGTGATCACCTTTGTCCATCCTAAAGGAGAATGCTATAATCTCCTCCACCATAAGCGCATGTAAGGCATAGATAGTGTCGCCTGCAACCACGGCCCTCCCTCGGAAAGGAGCATAAGAGGCAGAAGTCACTCTATTCCATTGGTTTCTACTCTCATGAAAAGCAACGACATCGAGATTCATGTCGGAGTCCCACAATGAAAACAAAATAACACCATAACAAACGGCATAACCAATTATTTCCATCCGGACATCATCACGATAAAATGGAAAAGAAGGCATTCGCTCCCAAACGTCTTGCTTAGGATCATATCTCTCGAAGGACGGTTCCGTAATTGGTTGTAAGCATGCTGGAGATGCAACATAGTAAAGCTTGTCATACGCAGACACAAGAGTTGCTAATGGTTTAGAGGCTAGATTGGGAGGAAGAGATGAATAATATGACCCAATCTCCGTGTCAATAATGTATCCGAATGACTTGGAAGAGTCTCCCAGGAGAGGGTTATTATAACCTCCCTGTAGAAGGATGTATAATTCAGAGCGGTTGAAAATTCTTGCACCCTGAATGTAAAAACCATTAGAGAACTCATCCTCAACTTGAACAAATGGGGTTTCATGAGTGACTTCTCCTCCGTGTTTAAACGTCACTTGATAGATTGCATCAGTATATTGGCCATCATAAAAAGACACAAATAAATATACAGATCTATCTTCCCCTTGATTTATTGTCGTTGATGGCACCATGGGAAAGCTGGACAGAGAAGAGAGAGATATATAGAACAAGTCAAGTTAATAGTATCAAACACCTACCTACTTAGAGAGATTTAATGAATGAAGCAAGGTCAAAGCTAGAGAGATTTAAAAAAAGAAAATTAATCAAAAATATTTATAATAATAATAATAATAAAAAAAAGTAACAACAACAATGTGAATGAAGAACATCAACAATTTTACAGAGAAACAAAAATTAAGAAGATAATATGAAATCCACTAAGCCATAATGCACTGACCTTGGGTAAGGATTAAAGGGTTCAAGGCTTGGACTTTCGTAAATCTCCGTGAAGTTTGGAGTTGTCCATTGGGATTGACTGGGGCTAGCAATAATGGCGCGTATCAGGCGAAGCTCCTCCATTATGGATTTCTGCTGGGCGGAAAGCTCGGCTAGAGATTTCATCACTTCCGATTGACGAGGGGTGGGCTCAGCAGTGGAAGCCATCGTCAAGGTGATTGCCGGCATGTGACTGCCAGGTTGAACGGGGCAACCACTACTTTCGCTTAGTAAGCGAAGCAGCTCCAATATTAATGTTTGCAATTCGAACTTTTGGGTTTTCTCGATCTCCGATATCTTGCCTAGAGATTTCTCCATCTCCCGTAACTTCCCATGGAGATCATGTTGGAGTGAAGCCATCGTCAAAGCATGGCCTTGATCCGAGGTGAGATCACCGGCGGCGGCGGAAGGTCAAATTTTTTTCCAATACACCATGATACCAGATGATAGGCCTTCGCTATTGAAATGCTAAATTGACGCACAGGGAATTTAGGGTTTGGGGATGCCGCTGCAGAGAGGAGTTCTATTATATGCTTGGTTGTTGGTGTGATTGAGGAAAGTTTCGTTAGGCTTGGTTGTGGGTGGGTGTGATATGAGGAAAGTTTCGTTTCGCTTGGTTTGTTGGTGTGATTGGGGAAAGTTTCGTTAGGCTTGGTTGTGGGTGGGTGTGTTATGAGGAATGTTTACAACTCGTGTAAAATTCTAGAGGTGGCTATTCTCTTTTCGTATACCACACAACTCATAAAACATGATTTATTTATCCTATTTAATTTCCCTTTTTAAAATTTCATTTTTTGTTACCTGTTTTATCATGCAATGTTTTTTTTTTAACCTGTTTTATGATATTTGAGTTTCTTACTCGTTTTTATGAGATTGGGGCTTTAGGGACCAGTTGATGAGTAAGTGGTTTAGTGCAAACCCTATATAATGCATATGCAGCTCTCCCTCTTGGATCTCTCTTTGATTCAGACCCAAAAAAAAAAAACGATATCTCTTTGACTCCATCCCTTCTTCGCTCTCGTTAATCGAAGGTGTATGCCCTTGTATCTCTCTTTGGCTGCATATCGTTTTTGCTTCGTTGTCCACAATAATTAAAGGTTAGCTTATGCTTTCTCATTTATATAATCTTGTTTTTGTTATATTTTCTTTTGAACGTTTGAGTAGTTTTGGTCTAGTTTTTGAATATTGATCGACCAATACATCTTTATCTGTTTTATTTCCAAACTATGAGTAGTTTTTGTCTTTTGAACATTGATTCTTTATCAAACCAATTATAATAGGGACAGTAAATTTGAGTAGTCTCAAATAACTTGGCTCATGTCAAGTCATTAAATTTAAACTACTTAAATTGCCACATAATTAATTTATTTGTTTTAATCTATATCTTATAATGGCAGAAGACCTTTAAAGTAAAACATTCAAAATCCCCACAGGCTGCCCTTGTTAATGAAAATACTAAAACAGAAGGGATAAAATAGTATATTCACAACTTATTTAAATTAAAACAAAGTAAAGAGCTCAATTGTCCATGAAAATAGGAGAAGTTGTCCAATGATAATAAGTGTAGTGTAGTCCTAAACATCTATCATAGGATAGTTTTATCTGTTGTTTCGGGTCTGGTACAGTAAGCTGTTGTGCGGCTCTTTGTTGGCTTGCCCAGATTGACTGACTGTTATCGTTTGTTTTCTCAGTTTCGCATGTTGCTGCTGTTGTCTCTCTCTTGTTTCCCTCTTACTTTTATCTGTTTTGTCTCACCTTCCTTAGTTTCCAAACTAATTAACCTATTCGAATCTTTGTGAATTATTATTTTATTTTAGATTTCTTTGAATTGGAGTGTCTGCCAAATTGAGGTATGGTGTTAAATATTGTGCCAAAGTAGTGTTGGATTTTCTGCGTATCTACTTACAAATTTGGTTGCCGACGAAAGGCCTTTTCCCAATTGGGATTGTTGTCTCATCTTCCCTTTTCCCCTCTCATCTTGTCAGCGGAATTGTTTGAGTGCTATATTGTAATTACAATACTGGGATTACTTTTATTGTTATACGAAGTGTTTTATTTTGGGAATAACTGATATACCCAAAGAAAAAAGAAAGAAAGAAAGAAAGAAGCTTGGTTGTTTTTCGATTTTTTTTAAAACATTTTCCTTTTTATTGTGTTAATTATTATATTGTTAAAACTGGTCTTTTATATTTTTTAATTGAAATTTTTAGTTTCTTATATAATTATTAGAGATTTTATAGTTATAAACTTAAACTTTTTGAACGGTGATAAATTTAAGATTTGTACCTTTTGCGCTTTTAAATGGCATGCATATTTCAGAGAATAATTTGAAAATTTTCTTTGATTCGCTTTGGCGTGGAAGAAAAATGATACAGTCATCATCTTGTACTTCCATTCGCTTTGCTGATTCTAATTCTATAACTCTCAGGAAATGGAAACTCAAATTGAGTTTTTTCAGTACATCACTGGAAAATATTACGATAATCCTTCAAGTGACGTGGTTATGGGTGCACATGTGTTCTTTTATTCCTTTACCTATTCGAAGAATAAAAGTTCGTATGATGGTGAGCTTATATATAAAACCAACGGTGAAGTAATAGATGTGTCCTTCTTGAATATGGGCGAGGCGGTTGAAGAACAAATGGTTGAGCGAATTTATCATTCATCCTTAAGCGTATCCGATGAAGGAGTTCTCCGTCCATGGATGTTTAAGCATTTCAAACAGAGTACGGGTGAGAGCGGATGGTAGATTCGACATATCACTTTTTGATTGGGCAAAGAAGCTGTCGTCAAATGAACTTTCTGATCCAAATAAGGTCAATTTGAAGATTGGGTTTCGCCGCCTTTGTGATTATTGGCGTTGTACAATACAGTGAGTGTAATAATAATTTATGTTTTTATTTTTATTTTTTATATATTAATGTGTATTGTGGGTAACTTGTGTATTCATGATTTGACAGACAATTAATTGATGTGATCTCTCACATCCATGCTCAGGGGATTTTCCATGGTTCCTTGGGGACAACGATGAGTTATGTTTTTGTGGGAGATACACTCAAGATAATTAACATAGAAGGAGGACGTATTGAGGACCTTATTGAAGCAAATATCGTTGCTTTCCAAACTAGAGACTTCAAGCAATTCAGGTTGATGCTGCAAATTCTGTTTCAGTCGATTTTGGGACCCCTCACTACATGGCCGGAAGTTACTAGATTTCTTAGTTGTTTTAACACTAAACTAGAGTAAGTACTTTTGAATTCTTTTTTGGTGAAATATAGTATGCTATTACATGTGTTTATGAATTTTGTTTTTTCTCTTTTCAGTTACCCCACCTATGTTAACAAATTGCGGAATCATCCATTTTTTATGACTCCTGATCAGAGGATGCAGTACATTGCTCAACTTCATCATAAACTCAAAACCACTCATAAATCTTTCCGCACCGAGTTGAACTCAAAACAATTTGATAAGTTCGTCAATTGGAACAGACCTCAAGTCTTCAGTTCTATGGAGCCGTTTTTGATGAAAGTTTACACGCATGACAAACCATATAAAAATCGGCCGTCAGACCTTCTAAAGTTCCTGCGAAATGTCTATGAGCATTATATGGATAGTAAAGAAGTGGACATTGAGCAGGTGGACGACGCTGTTAGAAGCCATTGGGGGGAATTTGTGGATTACCTTCACCGCCGGTTTAAAATAATAAATTGACTTTATGTTGGATTGGATTTTATGTTGAATTTTCTTAATCTATTACCTTTAAAAAGCTATTTTCAGCTAGATGAGGGTGGTTTAATAAACAATTGTCGTAAGCTTAATTTACCTAGTTTCTGAGCATTTTGCTGTTGGGATTGTCTGTCTCTCTTCTGATTTATAAGTACTATGACTTGACATAGTTTCTAAGCTTTACCTACTTCCTCTCTGGAATTTAGGTAATGTTCGTCCTTTATTCCAAGCAGAAGAGTTTTTGTACACTACCTCAATGACAAGGATAAGAGGGAAATCTTACCTGATTAACTGTACGATGTAAATGGATGGTGGACGATTGTTCAGCATGAACACTGACAATGTCAGAAGAGTGGGTGCTGCTACTGCCCTAGTTTGTTTATCTTCATCTAGCTAGCCCATCATTTTGATGTTCAAGTTCAACTCTTTTTCTGCAAGGAAGAGCATAATTTTTTCTCCAATAACTTTGATTTAAACTTTCTGAGATCCTTGAGGCACCATATGTTAAATCCCTAGACGTGCGATTGTATCGACATTTATGCTTGTTTACATCCACCTTTTTATTTATTTATTTATTTTACATGGTTTAATTTACATTCCAACAAATCTTTTGTCTTCTAATTTACATCTACCATATAAAGCAAACTTTATGACTAGATTTTCAAATTACCCAAAATTTCCCTCATTTAAGAAAAAATTTCAAAATACAATTACTTCATTTTATTGGGACAAATAGGTCAAAACAATAAACTATTAAAATGTGAATAATTAAAAGATAAAAAAGAAATAAGAGTTCTCTATTGATAAAAATAAAAAGAAAAGCCTAATTAGTGTACATGCGGCATGCCTACAATCTGACGTTGTCGGAGCGAGACCGGGGTTTAGTAACGAAGTTAGGCTCAAGAAACAAAGAGAAGATGTGTACGAACGAGATATCCAACAACAAGAAGAAGGAAAAGGTGTCACACCACGAACTCGGGAGTCGGTGGAATCCTCGCACCCGGTGCGTAATAAAATAAAAACTAAAATAAAATAAAAAGATGCTGAAATATGGGTTTAAAGTAAACTTCTCTTATAAAATATAGCTCCCAAAATCTTACAAATTTACAAGAAATAAATAAAGCTATATCACTCTCATCTAATTCAGCCTCAACCGATTTAGTCATTGTCTTGCCCACTAATCATCTGAAAAATTAAATAGGGTGAGGGATGAGCAACCACTGCTCAGTGAGTAGATTATGTAATATATCAGTCAAGCAATGCCGTTTTACACACTCTATAAAATATCAGGAAAAGACACACCAATCCAAATCATATCACATCATCCTTTCATATCTCGGTTATCCTTCATAGCATGTAACCAACCACGTGACCCCTATTGGCATTACTGTCCTATGTCCCCGTGTGGTACATCTATCCCTCGGATACCCCAACATTGAAGTTCTCATGTTCCATGAACAATACATGCTTCACAAATATTCCAATTAATATATATATATATATATATATAGTGTGAAAGATTGCACCAAATTAGACATGCTTGACTTAAAATAGAGAGATATTTGTAAATATTCACGATAATTCATGGTTTTCATATTTTATCACAAAATAAGAACTTTTAGAACATATTACATAA